GCATCAGGGACGAAACGTACTTCACGGTGGGGAAGACGCGCGTCAAAGTCACGCTGGCGGGGAACATGGTGTACTACATGGACCTTTGGGTCGGAGACCTCGTCGGCCAGAACGCGATCTTTGGGATGAATTTCATGGTGCCTGCAGGGGTACGGATCGATACCGCGGACGGCACAGCATGTCTCCCAGACGAAGTCCGTATCCAGATGATCGGGAGACGACCGTTGTACGGATCGCGGATGCGTCCGGTGACGATCCCGTCGTTGATCCGCGTCGCCGCGGGTCAGACCTACGACGTGCCGTTGCGACCAGAGAAGGGTGTACCACGCTTGTGGGTGACACGAGGAGCGACGTGGGTAACTTCCCTGATCAAAGCCCCCGTCGGACGTCGCACGTACTTGCGCGTTACGAACATCGGAGAGAAGTCGACCGTGCTAGACGCACATACGACGATTGGATGGTGGACGCCCATCGACGCGGTACCCCGCGCGTTTGGGTTTGTACAACCTGGATCGCGAAAGTATGACGAGTGGCAAAAGTTGGTGTACGGAGCAACTTGAGACGTAGATGACGAAGCCATATTCCAGGAGAATAGCGGTCCAATGACGGAACGGCGAGAGTATGCCGATCCACAAGCGATCCTGGGCCGATCAAAGAAGCCAGGGAACCCGCAGGGAGAACACCCAGGGAGAAAGGTAGCGGCGATATCAACCGTTTCACGTAAAGAAATACTGAGTCCACCGATGCGGTGAAGACTCGGGACGCCCTCTCTCCGAAGCTCGAGCACGGAGCGCGTCTGGGCACGGAGCACGAGCACGGACCGCGTCTCAAGATGGGGTCGACGGAAGAGCCCGACCCTAGCTTCAAGGAGATTGCAGAGTACGAGTACGCCGACGAGGGGGTGATATTCCATGAAGGGTCAGACTTGTTCACAGAAGACGTGGAAGTCGAAATGGCAGTGTTGCCAGAGGTTCCGTTGACGGCAGAAGTAAAGATCGAGGACCTCAAAATCGGGCAAAAATAGTTGACCCGGAGGAAGCAGCAAAGATGGAAGAACGGCTGCACCAGATCGTCTGGAAGAAGCGTAAATGGTTGATCGGGAAGGGCAACGCTCTGCCACCTGCAGCGAAGGGTGTCATCTGCGACATCGATGTGGGAAACGCGAGGCCCGTCGCACAACGCGTCCGGAAGATCTCGTCGCAGTTTCGCGAGAAACTAGCCGATCTGATCCGAGGACTTCTCAGCGCGCGTATGATCCGCGCGTCGAAGTCACCTTGGGCTTCCCCTATCGTGGTCATCGTGAAGAAGAATGGTGTCGACATCAGACTCTGTGTCGACTACAGGTTGGTCAACGGTTTGACCCAGTTGATGGTGTACCCGATGCCACTGGTCACGGACCTCTTGGAAGACTTGGATAAGTACCGATGGTACTTAGACATGGCCAGCGGATTTTGGGTAGTCCCGATGACGGACCGAGCCCGTCTCATCTCCGCGTTCATCACACCATTCGGGCTGTTCGAGTGGCTGCGTATGCCATTCGGTTTATGCAACGCGCCACAGATATACCAGCGGTTGATAGACAACGCGCTGTACGGCTTCTGGAAACTCTCGCCGACTGATGATACCCGCGACGTTTTCAAGGACGGGGTCCCGTCCAATCCTGGAACACGGTCCGTACTTGGCCGACGGTCCTATATTGACGATATTCTGATCGGAGGAAAGTCTTGGGATGACTTGTGCGAGAAGGTGGAACGTCTCCTCGAGGTTTGCGAGGAGTGGCACCTGTCGATCAGTGTCGAGAAAAGCGAATGGGGAATTCCAAGAATGGATTACTTGGGGCACGAGGTTTCGGAAAACGGACTCGGGGCGAAGCCAAAGAACTTGGAAGCACTAGCGGCGCTGGATTTTCCGCGCACGCAAAAGGGGTTGCAATCGTTCTTGGGTAGTCTAAATTACTACCACCGCTTTATCCCCGACTTCGCGATCTTTGCCACCGCGCTTTACTCCCTCTCAGCCCGCGACTTCGAGGAACGCGCCACGAACCCAGAAACGCGTGACGTGGAAAAGTGGGACCACGCTGAACGCGCGTTCGAGACACTTCGCAGCAAGATCGCGGCTATCCCGATGCTAAAGCATTTCGACGTGGAACCAGTGGTGATTGTGTACGCGAGTGACTGGGCCGTGTCGGCCGTCCTCACTCAAGCGCATGACGGAGTGTACATGCCCGTCAAGTTCACTAACCGGACGTTGAAACCCAACGAGCTGAACTACACCATCACCGAGAAGGAGATCCTAGCGTTGTTGCGTGTCTTGAACGAGTGCCACAACATGCTGGTGGGAAAGACGATACGCGTGTTGACCCGACATACAACCCTGGGTTGGCTATTCCGGTCTAAAGGGCTGCAAGGTCGTCTGTCGCAATGGGCTGCCATCCTCTCCCCCTGGCGATTGGAAATCCTCCGGTCGGCGAAAGGGGAGGAAGAGATTCTGGGAGCGTTGGCTGCAAGCATCACGTCGAGGACCCATGTAGATTCCGCATTGGTAGATATCGCGCCTCGAAAACGCTCGTCTAAGACGGCTACGATCCCGGTCCCGAAAATCGGACCGACCGAGAGCCTCCATGTGATCAGCTTCGACGGGTCAGCCCGCGTCAAACGCGAAGGTGGTGCATTCAGCGCCGTAGTCTGGCAGCTGCCGAATTGGGGCGTGGTAAAAGCCGCGTCTGGATACGCGGAAGGTCTCGCAGTGAACGAAGCCGAATACCGGGGTATGCTACACGGGCTCTCGCTCCTAGAAGACTTGGATGTTGCACGCCTAATCATATGTGGTGATTCAAACTTGGTGGTTAGCCAAATGCGAGGAGAGATGGACTGTAAATCTCCCGGTCTGAAGCTGTTGAGACAACAGGCTTGGAACGCGCTGCGCGAACGGCTCGGGCATGAGTTTCTACATGTCCGACGAGACTGGAACGCGAGTGCAGATATGGTGGCCGGACAGACCCTCCAACGATAAGGAGGAAAAGTCGTCCATAGCGTCGAGGAGATCGAGGATCTGAAGACGTTGAATCGGTTGGGAGAAGTGCCGCAACCCACGCTACCCGTTTCAGAGCGGGAGACGCGCGGTACAGATGACCCCGTCGCTGAGCTTGAAACGCGCGGTCCCGACAACGAGAGACGCGGGACGGGGAGAGTCTGTCCTGTGACCACCCGGTCGCGCGACGCGTCCCGTCAAATCACGCGGAGACAGCCGGAAGACTTGAAGGAACTACAGGTACAACGGCTGAGACTGGACCGGGTCCGTACCGCGCAGGACGAAGAGCTCTGGATAACGAACCTCAAGAAGTTCCTAAGCGGAGATATCAGTGAGCTTTCCAAACAGGAGGTGAAGAGCTGTGTGAAGATCGCAGAACA